TTTCTGCCTGCAGAATAGAGTCGATTTTCCAGACAGAGATGATGAATATGAGCACCAAAGACATTTTGTAATTTAATTTTAATAACCATGACTTGTTATTATTTTAATAACCATAAATAATATTTTTTTTTTTAAAAAAAACCCTGCTTTGCACAAAAGCTTGGACAGAAAACTATGCCATAATAATATAGTGGAGGTTGTGTTACAGCTTATTAATATCAATTTTGTTATCAGATGTGCTCTTTGCTGTGAGAAGGAGCTGCTATGAGTTTGGGATTTTTAGGGCTGAGCTTGACTGCTGTTGAGATCCTTTTGCTCCCACTGATGGCTCGGGAAACTGGAGGAATTACTCTGAAATTTTCCTTACATTATTTCCCTCCCTTCCCAAAAAAAAGTCTAGAGGCAAAGGCACTTTGGTGCACGTTAGAGCACTGCGTTCCAGGGCTGCTGGACTAGTCCAGCTGCTTTTGCTGCAGTGCCTGTTGCAAAGTCCAGGTTTTGGCCCAATGTGCACCATCCCTGTAGCCCAGGGAGGATCTGGGGCCCCTGCCTGGCCCAGGATGGCAGGACCCCATGTGGGGCTGTCCCCCATCCCCGGGGTGCAGCCGTGCTGCTTTGCCCCAGCCCTAATTGCCTTGCTTGGCCTGATGCATATTTATTAGCAAAACATAACACCCATTTTGTTGGGCTCTGGTGCTTGGTGCGACCCCGGCAGGGCAGCACCACACCGGCTGCTGCGGCGGGACCAGGGTTGGCTGTCAGTCTGGCGCTGCCATGGCACTCACACCCTCCCAGCTTGGTGCTGAGGCTCAACAGGCAAATTCAGCCCTGCTGCCAGCAGCACATTTTGGCAGGTCCCTGGGGAAGGGAGCATCGCTCACCCCCATGGCTGGTGCAGGGCAGCGTGTGGCCATCAGGCAGTGGGCTTTAGAAAAATGCAGCCCACCCGTGTTGGCCTGGATGTGGAGCGTGAAATGAAGGCTAAAAGACAGAATAATACTTTTTTTTCATGCCTCCCTGCATTCACTGTGTGGGCACTGTACATAGAAATAGGCTCATTTCAGCGAGGGCTCCCCGAGGCCAAGGCCGGGGAGGCGCGTGTCCCTGTCACCGCGTGGGCCGAGCCCACCGGGGCCGAGTGTGGCGGTCTCCTCATCCCCAAAACAGCCTGAAACCTTCAGCCTTGCAGGATGGGTTCGGGTCAAATAATCACTGGTTATTGCTCTTC